CTTGATACTTCAACGGTTGATAGTGGATGAACGATGACAAAATCATCATCTGAAAACGACATCGAAATCGCGCACTAGCGAATTGCAATCACAGAACAACGTCTAAGGCTGCTTTCATACTTTGCGGCAGCGTCCACCAGCGACCACGAGCGTTCCGAGCAACCGGCAGCGTGCGACTAGGAAAGTATAGATATCGATTTAGCGTCTGCCAGTGTCTCGAGGGCTAGGGAAGTATAGGTATCGATCTAGCGTCTGCCAGCGTCTACCAGCGTCCACCAGCGTTCACCAGCGACCGGGAGTAGAGAGTATGGGGAAGTAGGAGGGTAGCAAACAGCTGGATTAGGCGTCGTTGAATTGCGGCATGTCACACCGACAACTGCTACATAGAATCTATACAATTTATGTACGGTCCGTTGCACTCGATGCACGTTCACGAAGCCTAATCCAGCTGGTTTTCTAAATACTTCCCCATATCTAGTCCCGTTAGCTGGTGAGCGGCGCTGACGGAAGCTGCCAGACACTAACGAGCGCTAAATAGACCTCTCCTAACGCTGATGCTCGGACCACTAGTGACAGCCGATGGAGGGTGGTGGACGCTGCCGCAAAGTATGAACGCAACCTAAACTGTTCTCTCGAAGTTAGAGAACAGGCTGAATGAGCCATGAAAATGTGTCTTTCTTACCAAGAGAAAAGCCGGTGCAAGTAACATCCAGCAGATCCTCCAGTAAATTCCTGGTTCAAACCCAAGCATTTCTTTGAGATCGCGAACAAATTGCTTTATTCCTGAAAGACACGGTGATGTCATGTATCCTTCGATCATGATGCTGCTGATTCCTACCGTAAATATAGGCGACTACCATAACTTCACAGAAGACGGCAATCAATAGACCCCACGTTGTGCCATACACAATTAACCACTCCATTATCAGAATGCCACCCTAGAAAAGAAAATAAAGATCAAACTCGCGGAAAACTTTCTGCGTAACTTTAAAGGTTTCGAGTTTCTTCTGAGTATAGCGAGCATTGTGGTCAGCTTGGCATCCACGCAGAATGGGTGAAGCTGGCGATCGTAGAGTTTGAAGAGCTGTTTCATTATGATGACTGCTGTTATACGCCGCAGTTCGAGCTCCGAAAATTATCGTAAGAATGCTGAGTGATGGGCTGCGAAGTCATTAACCCCGCCCGCCTGGGGTCACACTTCAACTCAGCATTCTTTTGGTAACTTTCCGGAACGCGAACTGGCGCAAAACAGCAGATATCATAATAAAACAACTTCAAAATTTGTAAAACCTTCGGCCTCGCTGTTCATCGCCGATA